CGATACGATTTTATTTTAATTATGCATCTGTATCCTGGCCAGTTATGTCTGTAATTCTCCCAATTAAGAGCCTTTGCAAGTTGATAGCCTTGTGTAAAAGCATAAGTAACCCAACTCTTCACTTCAGATTGAACTAATTTTCGCTGTCTGCATGTGTGTGTGTGTGTACAAGTCCTTGTGCTCAAGAGTCCTGTGGAAATTGCATTTCTCGACTGCATATGTTATGATTGCAAATACACTCGACAGACATATTCAATTTTTGACAGCAGCCAAGTACTCCAGCTTAGAAGCTTTGCCGACTGTAGTATGTTGTAGTAGTAGTATTTATGCTTGGAAAATGGCTTTGGCATTCAGAACGGCGAATTCCGATCTCATTAGCAGATAATTTGCAATGCATTTGAGGCCATTTCCCATTTCCCATTTCCCACACCTGTGCGCCAGCACTCCAAAAATTTGTTTAGCTGTAGTTGTGACTGGGAAAAATGCTGTAGCAGCAGCAGTAAAGAAATTAAACAGAAAATACAAAAAAATGTGCGGTAAAGTGAAAAAGCCAAGGGAAGTGACTCCGTCAAGCTTGCAATAATAAAGTGAACTTAGTGCTCGCTGCTCAAGTGCAATGGCAATTGTTGTTTCTCCTTGTTGGTTTAACTGCGAGCGTATACACTGCCGGGGATAAGTACGCTACCAGGCACTCAATTTTGTAAGCAACTGTAGGCGAAGTAGAGTAATCCACGCTCGCTCATTTTCACAATTAGGGGAAGCAACTTTAAGCAACGGATTTTCAACTAGCCAAGACCAGCGATGGGCTTTTGTTTATGCCACACAAAAACGCTGGCTAAGAAGAATAATTTTCCACCAACAAAAAAATCAACTCTCTGTGTGTGAGGGGGATCCTTTTTTTTAAATATTTTGGACTGCTCTTGACGTCCTCGTCGTCGTCGTCGTCGTCATCGTCATCGTCATGGTCGTCCTTGTTGAGTGCAAGTCCTCGACGTAGTCGCCATCTCCATGGCATGCTTGGAATTTGCTTTGCTTTATGCTTCCTTTCCTCTGTGTTTTAAGGAACAGTTGGGCTGGGCTTTTGGGTGGAGTAAGTGCACCTTATTTCTTTCATTTTTGCATTATAAAAGGTAGGAATTAATGCACAGTCGAGTGGTGGGTGTGGCAGGGAATGTCCAGAGAAGTCCTGTCCCCGCGTTCAAGTTGCTGAAAGTGTTGAGAACTGTTTCGTGGTTTCTCCTTGTTTTATGATTAAAGTTTGTAGTGGGCGGCGGTGGCGGCGGCGGCGGCAGCGACGGACGTGAAGTGGCCAGAGGACCATAAATATGAATAATATAATGTCCATGATGAATTTTTACGAAATCGTGTCTTGCCTGCAAAGATTTCGCGGCATCAAAATATTCATCTACTTAGCTGTGGTTCCTTATTAAGTTCTTGTTGTTTTATTTTTCTTTTCGTGTTAATCTTTCACATACTAAACAGCTTTTAAAGACTTATTTTGTGCTTAATTTTACATATACTGCTTGAAGTAGTTTTCAAGCCATTTTCCGGTCTAATTCGATGCCCCACAGCCACCGATGATTTGCTGTCTCCGTTTGTCCCTTCGGCACTCTAATTTGTGCCGTTTATCGCACACATACTTGTATAAATCCCAATTTATATGCTCACCAAAAACAAGCAAACCAGCCAGCCCTGGCATATTGCTTATCTATTAAAGCAATCCCAAATCGCTCAACTTTGCATAATGCAATTCGCCCAAAAACTAGATAAACATATACATATAAATATACGTATATCCGCAGCTCTCTCTTCAGTCTTCAGTTATCCTCGAGGCCTTTCCTCCGACTTTACCACCCCGCCCCCCGTTCAGCTTTCCGGTCTGTGCTGGCTTTTCAAAGTTTTCCCAGCCATTGCATGTCATTTGCATAGTTTTCATTGCCCAAAAGTCGGGAGGACTTTGCTTTCCCAAGCAGCCTGCTGTTGCAGTTGCTGTAACGAGCTGTCAACAATCTTTTAGTTCGGGCCATCGGCAATGTATTTGCCAGTTTTTCAATTGAATTGTCGAACTCAACTCGTTGATATCACAGGCTTTCCGCTTGGCTACCCACTCTCTCTCTCTTTTGGATGGCCAAGGATGCAAAAATATTAACTTAATTTATGAGACGGCCTGGCCTGTTAATGTTGCAAATCGACCGACAAATTGCTCGCCATTGGCCGGTTGATTTATGGCAAACTGGGTCGCCTTACATGGCCATCTGTAGGGGTATTGGTATGGATATGGGTATGGGTATGGGTATGGAAATGGGTCCCAGGCCGAGACAATGCAACTAAATGTGCAACCTACTTTCCAATTACCCTGCTGCAGTTCTCCCAGCCGAGATCCAAGATCCGAGACGACCAAGGACCTTTCCAGCCGCAACAACAACGGCGCTGTGAGCCGGGCTAACAAAACCCGGCTGAGTGCATTTTAGCTGAATTACGGCTCTTTCTTAAGGGGGCCCACAAAGAGACAAGTGGGCGGAAGAGGAGGCGGAGGAGGCGGAGGAGAAGGGGACTGTGCGGATGCACTGGATTCACCTGCATGTGCGGTGGCCAGATGAAAGGATTGGTGTGGTGTGAGGGCAAGTGGTGAAGTGGGTGAAGGCCGAAAGGCGAGTAAATGGGCTTTTGTGCCCATTGTCTGGTGCTAGTGCTTCTGCTTCTGCTTTTGCTTCTGCTCGGCAGCCATTATATGCCAAAATAAGGCCACTCAATGCCAGCATAAGATCTCCATTCACCTGCTCGTCCCGAGAAGACGCCGTTTCATTTGCCTGCAACACCTGCAAATGCAATTTTCATAATTCACTGCAATTTACTAGACTTTTCTGCTAATTAGTCGCAGCTACATTTGCTACCAGGCGAGAGTTCTTTGCGAAAACTTGGGCTAATTGCAAATTAAGCACAGAGCCTCATTAAATTAGAGAATATTGCCAGGGAAATCGCCTCGAGGCGGAAATCTGGGCAGTCAACATCCGTTTCGTTTCGTTTCGTTTCCCCTTGGCTAAAATATTAACCCACTAATGCTAAGATCCCAACCCGACTCCGTGATTCATTCGGTGTCACGTTAACCCATTAAGCACCGCGCCACAGATACAGTTGTTGGCCGCCGGTGGTGCCCTTGTTTTGCGGTCTAAATGCACAAAAAGCTTAGCATAAATGAGTGCTGCTGTGTTTTGTTGTCGGCCCGCCTGCGTCCGGTAACAAAGCTCATTAGCGAAAGTAGCAAAAATGGCAAAGGCAGCGAGTGCAACGTCATTCAGCGGAAGCCAAGCACCGGGTAGAAATCCCCAGAGGAGCTACCCAAAAATAAGAGGAAGCATGAAAAGCGTAACATTTTGCAAATATTAAATCAGTCCGGAGAATTTCCGAGATTTCTAAATATTACTAATTAACTTGTCTGTTCAAGGCAATGACTGTACACAAATTGTTTAAAATTGGGCGAATTTTATTTATGATTTATGGAGGAACTGTAATAGTTCTTAACAAGTTTCTCGTTAAAAAATGTTTATTTAATAAATGATTAACTCAGATTTGAAAAGCTACTTTAGTCTAATATTCTTAACTTTGTTGCATAATTCTTAAAGCATAAACTGTGCTCGTTTATAAAAGTAATAATACCTTTAGTATTTTAACTTTTCAGGGAATGCCTATATTAACATTAAATGTAGGCTATTCAATGGATCATAACCAAAAGTGTTTTGAGATTTATTAACAATCATATACATTTCTTATCTCAAAGTTAATAAGTATGCCATTATCAAAATTACTTGCGAATTCTTAATTATCGGGCTTGTGCTTGCAATTATTTCTACAATCGAATGATCGACAAAGTAATAGAATCACTTCTTGAAATTCTTCATACAATATTTATATGAAAGTTCTTCTCGTCCCCCAAAATCTTTTGCATACCTTTTGTCGAGTTTTTCGTGATTTCCTTTTAATTCTTTAGGCAAATAATAGCAACGCGAATCCAAAGATAAAGTTCACAGCCCGCCGCCCCCTTAGCCAACTTTTCCAGATTGATGCCGTTTGTCTTTGGGCGTCTTTGCCGACTTTTCCGACTGACTGTATGGATTTGAGTACCTGCTCGCAGAAGTGGAGCAGTTGGAAACGCGAAAATGCGGAAAGTTGGCAAATGGGGGTAAAAGGGGGGGGACGGAAAAGTGTCTTAACAATTTCTCGGGCATCTATAAACATAATTAAAGAAACTCTGGCAAATTAATTCGAGTTGAGAATTTAACAATTTGGCGAGGAAAACTTTTCCACACCGAACAATAAACAATCAAGTTGGCTTCAATGGCGACTGCCAACTGCCAACTGGCGACTGGCGACTGTCGACTGGCAACTTTTTAATCCAGTTGAGGATGCAAATGCAGGATAGTCGGTTTATATGGCCACCTAATTGGCCAGCGTTAATAATATGTGCTTGTTACCGACTGTTAAATTGCAGAGCAGCTGACGCCAGTGATTCAATTTGTCAGCTGCTTGTTAGATGTCCTTTGCAGGATGGTATGCGATGGGATGGAATGGGTTGGAGTAGTGTCCTCGAATGATGTGACTTTTAGTGCCGAGCTTAATTAAAAACCCTGTTGGAGTAATCGCCGTCGTCTTGTCATCCACGCTCCCTGCTCCTTGCAAGTAGTTGCAAAGTTCGATTTTTGTCGTCTGCGTCTCCGTCTGCGGTCGTTTGCCCCAAAGTGCAAAGCGTTGTCCTGTGGAAAAATCAGCCAAAGGATGTGCTGAGCTGAGCTGAGCTGAGCCGTGCGACACATGGCTTCCCTTGGCAACCGAACCCCTCACGCCTCGACTCGCTTCTAATTGAGTTGTACAAGACTACTACTAATTGCATTCGATGCCTGCCGCTCGGCGTTGATATAATTAAATTTTATTGGCCGGCGAAGGAGCTTAAGGTGTTTGCCGGTCAAATTTATGGCCGTGCTGTTTAATTAAAGTTTAATCGCGGTAAAGTCCACCCCGCCTTACCTGTCAACCCCCTTTGGGGGCGGGTAGTTTTCAAAATTTTGTAGTTTCACAAAAATTCAGCTAGTTAGAAGGCACAAAAATAAGTTAAATACAGGACACCCAGACACATGCACACTTTTACACACCTTTGACCCATACATACGAAGACGAAGCACATAGACAGACAACCCGGACGGCGGCATGGTACAGAAGAACCTCGTATCCACGGACAGTGCCGTGCTAAGCAGCGAGGCACCATCGACCTTCAACCCGCAGGAGGATGGGGAGCCCGACCTGTGCGCCCTCTGCCTCGACCACATCCAGGATCCGGAGAAGCTGCACTGCAACCACGCGTTCTGCAGGAGCTGCCTGGAGTTGTACAGGGAAGCTCGTAACTGGGTGGCCAAGCGCTGCCCCATCTGCCGGCGCAGCCTGGAGGAGCAGGTGTCCAGGCAGTTTAATGATGTAAGCCTGCGGCATAGACAAACTATTTTTTTAACTTTGCATGATTTTGGTCTCCTACAAAATTAGTTTAAACTCATTTGTTAGTTTAAGAGATGTTCATGAGGGTTACTTAAATATTTTAATTGTTTTCCAAAAGCGAAGCCTTGAACTCGATGAAACCGGAATTTGATGCACTATTTATTTTTCCATTTATATTATGAGGAATTGTAAGAAATATTTATCATTTTGCTATTATTTTTTTTAAGGTTTCATTTATAAATTTATTTCATTTAAGACTCCTAATATTTTCGTTTTGTTTTTGATGTGTTATAAAATTGATAAGAGAATAACAACTAAAGAAATTCCTGTGTGATATAAATAAAGTATTTTTCTAATTTCGAGATTAAAAAGATTACAAAATTTTAAATGTTTTTCTTCCGTTTTTGAAATAACATTGGTAATTATTTCATAAATACTTCAAATCTTAAAATAGGTTTTTTGTCTCTTACAAATTAACTTGTTTCTATTATTTTAAATAGATACTCAAAATTACAAATGCAAAATTGCTTCCATGAAAAGTGTAGTGTAGAAAAGAGTACAAAAGAATAGACAAAAAAGAAGATTTTTTAGCCAAAGTATAAATTGAATACAACATGACGGTTAATATGCAGTCTATATAAATATAATTTTTCTGCAAACTCACCAAAATCCTGATTTCCTCCAGGATTGGCGCCTATTCGGTTTCATGATGGTACTGCTGATGCTGCTCAGTCTGGGGCCATTTTATCTGCTGCTGCTCTACTGGTGAACTTCTTGGCCGCCGCAGCAGCACCTGACTTACCAAAATATGTATATTTGTACTTAGATAGATATATGCAAACCTGTCAGTGGATTTTAATTAAACCCGAAAGCCATAAAATGCGAGTGGAATGTTCATTGTTCTGGCTTGTCCTTTGTCCTTTGACCACCTTAATGAGTTTTTAGCCAGCGAGAATAGATAAGGGTTTTTCTTAGAAGGCCGCTTGAATGGAAAGTCAAGTTGCGGGTAACAGAAGTGCTTATACGCCCTGTGGTCGCCTCGCTTCCATTGTATCCACGTTTTAATTAAATTTTATGCGCCAATAAACTGCTTTTGGATGCAGGCACACAAAGTGTTGCCACGCATGCATATTGCAACGAAAAGAAAATAAATCTAAGCTGACTCAGCCATCCGCTATAACCCAATATTCACAAATAACCATATTCCGAGGGGCCCTTATTTATGTTTATTTTGCTGCTGTAAATCAAAATGCTGGCCGCAAAAAATTGTATATTATACAAATATTTTGCCACTTTAAAATGACCAACAAGTAAATATTGGAAAATGTGAATATCAAATGTTGATTGCCCAACAGATGCATCAGATGATACCCCGTGTGGTATATAAAACTTTATTATTTGAGAGCGTTTTCATCCGTTAATTCATTTGGCCATTATTAGTTTTAGACTGTTCAAATAATTGTCCAACCTTTCTATATAGTAAAAAGTGCTCTAATCGAATTTTGTTATAACATTATTTGAATTCAAACATTATTTAAACTATCAAAGTATTAACTTATCTAAATATCCTCCCATAAATATAGTTGTTTGGAAATATTCAATTTTGTCTAGGGTACAATGGAATTTGAATATTGTTATTGTGAAACCGCTGGTGTTTTTCGCTGTCGTTGTTTACGGATTTGGACCTTGTTTGTGGCACAGTTTGTTCCTTATTTGGCCATAATAGCTCACACATACCCCAGTCCACCGGCAAAACAAATATGTTGGGCGCATTTCGATATGGTTTTTCAACCATTTTGATTGCTCGCCAGAAGCTGCGGCTGCCCGCATTCGCCGTGAAAACGCTCCGCAATTTCGGCTGTGAGTAAAAATACCACTGTAAACTAATATTCCGCCCGAGATATGGATAGTTGTTATACTGACTGAGGACTGGAGAGTGGGGACCAGGAGACTGGCCTAATCCTCCCTACGCCAAAGTCGAAGCCCGGCTTTGGGCATCGAGTTCCATTCGCCGCTCGCTGTCACATCCGTTCGCACAGGATATGAAAAGGCTGCTGCTGCTGCAGCCGCTTCTCAGTTTTCCAGGCACTATTTTTTCCGCTATTTGTCCGATTTGTGGGCCAATCCACACTCGATTCTTCTTCACTTTTTTTTTTTTTTGCCAGCGCTGTTTGGCTTTTGTCAGCTGGCAGGCAAATTGAAATGTTTGCCCCTGGCATCGGTTTTCCACCAAAAAACCCTACCCGCTTTCCACCTCCATTGGCCTGTTTGTTTGTTGATCTTTGACACTAGGCTGTAATTGAAAGTTTTGTGTGGACATTTGAGGAGACAAAGCCAATCGATAGGGCGGCTGGGATCCAAAACTGGTTCAACGGAGCCAATCCAAATTGAATTTTCGACCCTGCCCTCGCGCTGAACGTGGGCGGGCAATTTGCTTTATGCTCTCAATTAGTTTCGTGAACGTGGGCGGGCTTAATTAATTTTTACATGTACCGGCGTGACCTCTGGCACCGGGAAAACTCCGGCCCACCTGTCCTCATTTGTTACGCCCATTTTCGCTGGCTGGCAAGCGGCTTTATCGCCCGTCCGTGTCGCGACCACAATTTCATCGATAGCAAACACAGACAGCGGCGGGGCTTTTCCAACCGCTTTTCCGCCCATTTTCCCGCCGCCCACCGCGCTGGCCTGGCTCATTGCCAATGCATTGTGCGCCGATTATTTTGCCGTTTATTTCGCTCTCGCCCGGCGATTTTCGTTATTTTGCTTGTTTTTTTTTTTTTTTGGGGTTTTTTGTTTTTTGTTTCTGGGTTTTTTTTTTGCCTGAGCCTGGGCTTTCATATTAAATTTTTGTCACTCTGCCATGTCTATCTTCGGCTTCGGTGCGCTCCAAATTGGCTGCTTTTCAACAAAGATGCAACATCTGTTGCCACGAGACTGCTGCTCATGCTCCTGCTCCCGCTGCTGCTCCTGCTCGTCGTATCGCCTTGCATATCCTTTTTGGCTCTGGTGCAAATTGCAGTGTTGGCCCCGGCAAAGGAGCTCATGTCCCGATGTTTCTCCGGCTGTTTCTCTCGCCGCAGAAACCCGAAATCCTATTCATTATGTCACCGTGGGGGCAGGAGATGGTGAATGGTGGATGGTGGCTGAAATGGATGGTGGCTGGAAGATGGGGGTGCGGCTGCAATGGGGATCTGGGATTGCCATTTGCATGTCCTGTTTGGTTTCATTAAATGCTCGCCTTGCCGCATGCAATTACCAATTTATTTTGCCGGCAAGTGCACTTCTGGCTCGCCTCGGCTTTTTGTGTGGGACTCCTCCCACGGATAAGGAATAACCCCCAACTAAGCGAGTGCTCGCATGCTTAAATTGTGCCAAATTAGCTGGCTTTTTATTCTCATTTCTGGGTTGGCCGCTTTTTGTTGATTCAAATTGTGCATTGTGTAAATCCAATGTGTTCAGTGCTCAAACTGGTTTTTCTTTGATTGTTGTCGATAGTGTGGGCTAACATGGCTTTGTGCTTTTCTGCTTTTTGAGGGTTATTTCTTCTCTAAAATTTGCCAATTCTCTTAAGTAAAATATATTAAATATATGCAAGTTTTCATTTGCACAGCATCCAATAAATTAAAATACTATTGTAATCAATATCAATATCTTGTAAATCAATATATTATGCTTAGAACAAAACATATAAAATTGCTCTGGAAACAGAAAGACTATAAATGCACAATTTTAGTAATATAGAAATGAGTAAAACCATGTTCTAAGCCTTAAACTAAGAAAGGTTAGCTCTACCAAAAACAATTTATCAATATCATTACTATAATGTTGATTTTAATCTGAAAAAATTGCAAAATAAAGCCCCTGATTTTGCTAATTTTATGGGTCTTTATCTTTGTCGCCTTAGCCATTGTGTGCTTTTGTGCATAATGATTTCTGCCCTTTACCACCGTCGGTGACTGTAATGATATAATTAATTAGCTGCATTTGTTTTTGCCAGCTGCATGCACACTATCCTGGCTGTTGTTGTTGTTATGCCACGGGTTACGTTTACGTTTACGGTAGCATATCCGCATGTCCTAACCCAGACTCCGACCGGAATCCGGAGAACGAAGTAAGGAGTACGGAGTAGTGGATTCCCTGGTGCCGTGCCGAGCATTGTTTGCTCTGATTGCCGGCGTGGCAGAAACTGAAACCGAGGCAACGACCTCTGGCTGGTTGTCAAAGATTAAGCAAACCGAGCTAAGCGGACAAACAAACACGCACTCGAGGGCATTTGGCAGGTCCTGCCAGCCAGGATGGCCGGATGGCTGGATGGCAGGATGGCTGGATGGCTGGATAGCAGGATGGCAGGATGCACACGGCAATGGCTGCATTTAGTGTGCAATAAATTCCCTTTTAATTTACTAAATGTGCTTGCGACTGTCCAGGGCCAGGTACCAATATCCTGGTGTCTCAGTGTCCAGCGCGTGAAGCGGACAAATGGCTGCAGAAGACGGATGATGCAATTGTCTTTCTTGAATCTTAATTGCTCCGGCTCCTTGCCACTCCAAGTTTGAAGTTTTTTGCCTTCCAATTATGCAAATGCCGAATATTTGCTGGCAGGCAGACAAGCAGACAGGCAGGCAATTGAATTTGCAAAGCCAGTTGGTCGATGATGATTTTGTGGCCATAATGATTTGTTGCTGCGGTTGTTTGCCTCTCTGCTTGATTGACCGCACAATTTCCTGTCATTAGGGTCGGGCATACATATGTACAGGCGCTGCTCCTCCGGCGAATCCACACAGCTGGCTGGAGTCCTCAAATCCTCCTCCTTCCTCTTGGCGCTGCTTGAAACGAAGCAGATTGTGTATTTATGAAGGCATTTAAAATGCATGCACAGAGCAGCCCAACCATCTCGTCCTGTCATAATTTCACATTAACCTACTTCCAAAAAATGAGCATCATCTCTGGCGGGCCACCCGTTCTCCTGCTCATTAGCCAGGCATCCAGGCATCCTGACAGCCAGGATTCTGGCGTTTAATTATGTCACACCCCGGTCACAGACTGCTGCATGCTGACATGTGTGTGAGTTGTCAACGAGCAGATCATCAAACATGCAGCGGAATTGCTCCCTGGTCAACTGTCGCTGTCCCACTCCCACTTCCACTCCCACTCCCACTCAACCCGTTCCCTGTAGCTCTGTCTTTGTCCCTCTGGGCAGGACATCAAAACTGCCGGCCATAAACTCTCCAATTAGATGTCTGGTCCCCATTTATAAAGGTGTGTGTGTGTGTGTGAGAGTATGTGGGTTGCCAATCAATTTTTAATGAGTTTGAAATTGTTTGGCCAACCAACAATAGCTAATGTTGGCATAAAAAGTTGTTATGATATGCACGAGTTTTCCCTGTGATCGTTTCTCTCAAGGATATTTTTTTTACATCACTTTAAGCTTCCTAACCTTTTTTTTCTTATAATCAGGAATACAAAATTTGACACTTTTGATTTTAAGGAACTAATGTGATTTTCATTTTCAACAATAAAACTCTTTTAATTATTCTGCACAAATGGTAAACAAATCAACAGCATATAAAAACAAACGCTTTATAAACTTGTCCACAGAAAAAATGGAGACTTTCATATAAAATATATAAAAATTTATAAATGTATTTAGAATAAAATTCAGAAAATAATGACTATTTTCTGACCCTGTTTTTTATGAGTTTCTTTTTTCTTATTCTTCTCTTTAAAAGATTTTACTATTGCGCCTGAAAGTTTTCACAAAATTAATGAAATCATTCTGGGAATGCATGTTCTTAAAGAGAAAATTTGTTATCTCTGTTACGATGCCGTCAAAATATAAACTTTAGTATTCTAGTTTAAATATTTTGAAATAATTAAATT